GTTGTGGTTGTCAAGGACATCAAGGTCTTTCTTGTATAGTTCTTCTGTGTATTCTTGCCATCTTTTCCTAATCTCTTCTGCTTCTGTTAGGTCCCTACCGTTTTTGTCCTTTATCATGGCCAGCTTTGCATGGAACGCTCCCTTGATTTCTCCAATTTTCTTGAAGAGATCTCTAGTCCTTCCCATTCTATTGCTTTCCTCTATTGCTTTGCATTGTTCATTCAGGAACGCCTCCTTATCTCTCCTTGCTGTTCTCTGGAAATCTGCATTCAGTTGGGTAAATCTTTCCTTTTCGCCTTTGCCTTTCGCTTTCCTTCTTTCCTCTGCTATTTGTAAAGCCTCATCAGAAAGCCACTTTGCTTTCTTGCATTTCTTTTTCTTTGGGATGGTGGTGATTGCTGCCTCCTGTACAATGTCACGAACCTCCGTCCATAGTTCTTCAGGCACTCTATCTATCAAATCCAGACCCTTGAATCTATTCTTCACCTCTACTGTATATTCATCAGGGATGCGATCTAGGTCAAACCTGAATGGCCTAGTGGTTTTCCCAATTTTCTTCAGTTTAAGTCTGAATTTTGCAATGAGTAGCTCATGATCTGATCCACAGTCAGCTCCAGGTCTTGTTTTTACTGACTGGATAGAGAGCTTATCCATCTTTGACTGCAAATTATATAGTCAATCTGATTTTGGTGTTGCCCATCTGGTGATGTCCATGTGTAGAGTCGCTATCCCCTCTGGGCAGGCCTACTCTCCATTATTCCCTATGAGCAATCATGGATTCTCTATTGGCAATTATGGATTCTCTACTGTACTCTATTATCCCTTATGGGCAAGCCTACTCTACATTATTCCCTATGGGCAATCATGCATTCTCTATTGGCATTCATGTATTGCCTATGAATCCATTCATGTATTCCCTATGGGCAATTGCTTGTCCTCAATTTTAGTAAAGGTAAAGGTAAAGGTTCCCTTGCTCGAAAGCCAGTCGAATCGGACTCTAGGTGCTCATCTCCTGTATTCATGAGGCTTCCAGTCTTCCTGTAACTAAGGAAGGAAAACTCTATTCAGTGTTTCTTGTATAGTCACCTTAATATTTTAATATCATACTACTGTAACTGTGGGTCTCGAACTGCTGAACTACTGACCTTCCACAGCCTGCAGTTCAGCGTCTTAACCACTTGAGCCACCGCAGCTCCTCAGTTTTAGTACGTCCCCGAAAAGAGCCGCTTTTGTTAAATACCACAAAGTACCGTGGGACCTACATTTCAGCAGCAGCTAAAAATTAAATCCAGCCCGACAGTTTGCAGAGCTGAGCGTTGTCTCTCGCATAACATGCCTTAGTTCTGGTCAGGAGCTGGCGGTCGGCCTGCAAGAAACCCGCGGCCCTTCAGACGACCGAGCTCCCCTCCCTTCCTCCGCCCTTCACATCATTTGCATATCCAAAAGCAAGGCGACGAACCCGCAAGGCAAGGGGTGTGGTCTGCTTGGGAGTGGGCGGGACTCTGTCTCGAAGGGCTAGGCCACCCCGGGTGAATGGCCTTCGTGGAGAGTGCGGAATTTTTTCGTCACGTCAAAAGAGGTGGAGGCGCTGAAGCAAGATGGCGCCGGCGGTAGCTGCGAGCGGGGATCGGGGGCTGAAGAGTCTGGTGTGGCAGAGTGAGTGCCGGGCCTGGCGCTGCTGCCCGCTTCGCGTTGCATTCCTACGGCCGTGCTCGGGAGAGCGTCCTGTTGGGGAAGCCCAGACGGCAGGCAGCTCCCTCTCTCCCGCTGTTTGCAGGAGGAGGAGGAGGAGGTTGCTGGAGGCCTTGGTCGCCCTCTACTTGGCTGTCACCAGGCGGGCGGGGATGGCTAGCTGCTTGCTCCTGAGGCTTTCCGGGGAGAGCCGTGCTCGCGCGTGTGGCTTGCAAGGGGGCCGCCTGTGTCTTTTCTTTTTCTGCTGCCTCTTGTCGAGAAAATGTATCTCTCTGTGGCTGCTGTTAAATGGCACCGAAGCACAGCTAATGGAATGAGCGGGGAAAGTGGCAGCCTTTTAAATTAGGTTTTTATTCTGCCCTCCTGTCAAACAGCTTAGGGCGGCGTCTGTTTATGGGTTATTGTTCTTTTACCTTCATGTCCGTGCAAATAGATTGAAGAAGAGTAAAAAGGTAAAATGCGCTTATTTTCGTAACACGCTTGAGCATTAGGTTGATGTGAGAAACAGTCTGAGGTTGCTGAGAGAGACTATGGAATCCGAATGAGTGACAAATAGCAGATCGGTGGTTGGGGAAACAGCCTTGAGGAAGTGAAGCACTCCTCTAGAGCAGCCTAGCTTCTCACACACACCCCTCCCCGCATAGGATCTCCTATTGTCATGTCTAGTTCGGCGATGGAGACTGCAGTGCTCTATTAAGACCGTCGATTTAAATGGATTCAGCAGCACTCCTAGCTCTGTAAGAATGGGATGCACATGAGCTGTCTTACTGAATGGAAGGGGTTTCCTTATTACCCCCCCCCCAAACTGCAGGTGGTGAAGGCAGTTCCAATGGTTTGTGTGTAGCTGATGGGATGTGTTTAAGAACTGCTGTTTAGCGAGCTCATTGCCTAAGATGTAATATTCAAATAAACAGCTTTTGGCTCCCCCCCACACACTATAGCTGAGAACACCATTGGTGGACTATGATTTATGCCCTGCCGTTTGACCTAAAATAAAGCTCTTAAGGCAGCCGTAACCATTGATTTCTGAGCTCATATTCTTCCCCCTTCCCCTTCCGTACATTTAAAAGTGAAAGTGAGGGTCAGAGTGGGCGTTTCAGGGTAAAGAGACGTTTTGTTCCAATTGCCCACCATTGTCTTAATAATTAAAATCCTTTTGTTAAATTAGAGAATCCTGGTTCCCTTGGATCAGATGGTAAATGTTATGATTTGAGTGCTGTTTTTGTCTGGGGTTCTTAGGGAAAATGTAGATTTTTTACTGCAGAAGAGTTGGGAATTGCTGGCTTCACTGCTGCTGTGACATTGAATTGATGCATTTTGCTTAAAATGTTTCATTCAGTCTGATCTTTATTACAAGTTAATACTGTAAGGAAATCCATTACTGATTGATTACAAAAAGTCTCTGGAGAACTGTGGTGTAAAGTTGCTGTTGGTTTCTGTTGAAGCTAACTATTACTGATCAAGGTCAAAATGTTTGATAGTGAATGCTGCAGAATGGAAACTCTTGGAGAAGGGAATGCAGTCGCTTCCTTTAGTGAATAGATGCATATCTGTAGTAAGCTTATGTTCAAAAAGTAGTTTTAAAATGGAGTATTTTAAGGAAGAATAATATTGGCTGATATATTTTGGAAGGAAATTTCTGCTGCTTGCATTCCTTCAGCGTGTCACCCTTATGCTAACTCTTTCCTTGTCCTGTATGAGAGCCAGTGTGGGTAGTGGTTAGAGTGCCTGGGTAGGAGCTGGGAGACCCAGGTCTGACTCCCCATTCTGCCCTGGAAACTCCCACACACTTGCAGCTTGACCTGCCTACTTTGGATCCCCAGTGGGGAGGAAGGCAGGATATAAATGAAGTAAATAAATTTCTCCAGTATGAGAAGGTGAGGTAGTCCATGGTAATGAGTCCCTTTGGTTTTTTGGGGTTGGTTGATAGCCGGTCTCTTTTCCCTACCATGTACCTGAGTTGGGGGGAATTAGGCTCCCGGTCTTCAGTGGGGCTCAGTTGGTGCCAGTGCTGGAGGTAAGGAGTTTCGGGGTGATGCTGGATTCCTCACTTACTATGGGGGCCCAGGTCACTTTGGTTGCCAGATCGGCCTTTTATCACCTTTAGCTTATCAGGGAACTAGTTCCCTGTCTCCGCTACAGTGATCCATGCAATGGTCACTTCCAGGCTAGACTACTGTAACTCGCTCTACGCAGGGCTACCCTTGAGCCTGATCCAGAAATTGCAGCTAATGCAGAATGCAGCAGCACGCTTGTTGATGGTGATGCCTGCGCGGACACGCATTCATCCAGTGTTGTGCCGACTGCACTGGCTGCCAATCGAATACTGGATCCAGTTCAAGGTTATGAATTTGACCTTCAAAGCCCTGAGCGGCCTGGGACCATCATACCTGCAGGACCACCTCTCCCCTTGTGAGCCCCGGAGAGCTTTGTGTTCTTCTGATCAACATCTCCTGGTGGTCCCTGGCCTGAGGGACGTCCGCTTAGCCTCAACCAGTGCTTTTTTGGACCGAGCCCCGGCATGGTGGAACGTGCTCCCACTTGAGATCGGGGCCCTGTGGGACCTAGCACAGTTCCACAGGGCCTGTAAAATGGAGCTGTTCACTTGATGCACCGAGCATTCAATCTGTTCTGGTCCCCCTGTCCTGTCCACAGCATTGTTTTTGACTCCCCCCTCCCTATTGTTTCTTGGCACTATCTGGACACTGGAGTTTCTTAGGGTAATTACATTACAATAGCTATTGCTATTTATTGTTTTATTGTTTTTATTGTTTGCTGGCTTTATTACCTCTTATGATTATAGGAGAAAAGGGGTTCTAACTGGAATTATAGTTGATAGCCCAGGAGGTCTCTGGGGGTAAATGTATTCCTAATTAATAAAAGGCACAATTGCTAAATTGCTCAACAAAAAATGAGAGAGCAATATTCTTCTCCACCATTGATCATTTCACATGGTATTGTTATGCCGCCCTGAGCCCATTTTTGGGAGGTAGGGCGGGGTATACATTTAATAAATAAATTAATAACAAATAATATGTCTAGGAACAGCTCTAGGAACAGCTCACTGAGTTTCGTATACATATCTAGGAAGAGCTTGTGGAGTTCTGGGGCAAGACGTTTTTTGCTTTGATGGTGGTGTGTTTTGGCATATTTCTCAAGGAGATCAGAATGCATTAAACAGTAGGATCTGTCTGGGCACTGGCTCAGGCAAGTCTTGATCTTTCCTTCCAAATGGGCTCCTGATTTTTTTGGGGGGGGGGCGGAATTTAGGCACTCTTCTCTAGTGTTCCATTTATCACAACAAATAATGCTGCTTCAAATGTACCCTGAAAGATGACATCAGTATATTTTTACATGAGTACAATAGAATCTTGAAGCGAAGACAAGCTCCTATACGTATTTTAACCTATTTAAGAGTATGGTATAGGCTTAGAACAGGGAAAGGGATAGGTCTTTTGGTGTCGTGATTAAGAGCGGCATAGTCTTTTGGTTTAGTGGATTGGTCTTTGATTTAGAGGATTGGTCTTTGGAAAGGGATTGGTCTTTGGAAAGGGATTGGTCTTTTGGTGTAGTGATTAAGAGCAGTGTAGTCTTTTGGTGTAGTGGTTAAGATGAGCCAGTTTGGTGTAGTGGTTAAGAGCGGTGGTCTCTAGTTTGGAGAACTGGGCTTAATTCCCCACTCCTCCACATGAAGCCAGCTGGGTGACCTTGGGTCAGTCACAGTTCTCTCAGAGCTCTCTCAGCCCCACCTACCTCAGAGGGAGTCTATTGTGGGGAGAGGAAGGGAAGGTGATTGTAAGATGCTCTGAGTCTCTGAGTGAAGGGTGAGGTATAAATCCAACTCTTGCCCTGACCTGGATAGCCTAGGCAAGGCTGATCTTGCCTTATCTCAGAAGCTAAGCAGGGTCAAATATGTTTGGTACTTGGATGGAAGATTTCCTTGGAATACCAAGTCGGGAGGACAAAGGCAGGCTTTATTCAGCCACCTCTCTGAATATCCTCCAGCGGCCCCCCACCCATTAGGAGTCAGTCACTAAAGGGCAAAGTGACATCCAGGTGCAGACACACACACAATACCAAAAAATACAACTCCCCCCCAACTCTTCTTCTTCTCCTCTTTGTTTCATTCTTCAAAGTGCAAAGATAAACTGATAGCACAATATTAATTTCTTAAACAAAAGTACTACCTGAAGAAGCAGTATGCCTGAAAGCATTGTAACTTGTCATTTTCAACGGCATTAGGAGTTATATGTGTGCATGAAGGTGCCGTAATTGTTGAAGTCATACTGTATTGTCTCTGGCAACAGCTATAAGGCAGTGCCAAACAGGAAAGTCTGTTCATAGGGAAAACATCAGGAAGTGCAATTACCTTTTTGTATAAAAAAGAGCTGCGGTGGCTCAAGTGGTTAAGACGCTGAACTGCAGGCTGTGGAAGGTCGGTACTTCAGCAGTTCGAGACCTGAGTGTGCCGCATGACGGAGTGAGCTCTCGTCTCTAGTTCCAGCTCCTGCCAACCTAGCAGTTCAAAAGCAAGAAATTGCAAGTAGATAAATAGGTACCACTTCGGTGGGAAGGTAACAGCGTTCCGTGCGCCTTGGTGTTTAGTCATGCTGGCCACATGACCACGGAAACGTCTTCGGACAGCGCTGGCTCTTCGGCTTTGAAACGGAGATGAGCACCGCAACCCTAGAGTCGGATTCGACTGGCTTTCGAGCAAGGGAACCTTTACCTTTACCTATAAAATATTAAGGTGACTATACAAGAAACACTGAATAGAGTTTTCCTTCCTTAGTTACAGGAAGACTGGAAGCCTCATGAATACAGAAGTTTAGATCCTGAGTCTTGCTTCTGCTTCACCTGTGCCCTTTGTCGTTGCAGCAGTAGCCTTCTGTTCTGCCTTCATGTTGTTCTAGGCTCAGTTAACACCAATGTCTTTCAATGAGCCAAAAAGCAGCTAGTGTCAGACGAATGCAATCCACACTAGAGAACCATCCCAGCAGTGGGCAGAGTTGCAGCAAAAACCAGGCTCAGGATCCAAGACTAAACCATCTGGCAGAAAAGATTGAATGTAATCTTTTAAGTGAATATTGCAGATTTTTCTGTAATACTTTTAAAGCTGTTAAAAAAGAACTTGTTAAAAATGGAGAAGTAAGAGACGGAAGCAGTCGGGCAGAATTCATGAAGTGTGGTTGTTTTGGTAATTTTGTCTTCAAGGTTCAGACTTGCAGCAATAGAAATAGTTGTGTGTAGCATTTTTGAGGTGAGTTGACGTGAGCACAGATGCAGATATGAGCCGGTGTGGTGTAGTAGTGACAGCACTGCGGCAGAGCTGGGAAGACCCAGATTTGAATCTTACATGGAATCTCACTCCTTGACCTTATGGCAGCCGCTTAACTTCAGCATAACCTATTTCACAGGCTTGTTGTGGAAGGAGGCGCCTTAACTAAACAAGGAGGAGTGTTTGAGAGAGAGAGGTCCTTCCAAGTCTAAGAAGGAGGTTTCCTTACAGTTTTGAAACATTACTATAGATTCATTACTGAAGATCCAGAAATATAAGCGTGTATTAGTAGTTTAAATGCAGTACCTGTTGAGCTTGTATTGAATGTATGCAGTTTATGGATATGCTTTCTGATCCTATTAATTTTAGATGCATGTTTCATTTGGGAATCCACCTGAATTGCTTCAGGGTCATTCCTGTCATTCAGGCATGGTTATGTAAATGTAACGTGTCTAAGTAGTTGGTAGGACTGGGGTAGCAGTTCAACCTTGCACTTCAGTTGAGAAATCCTGTGCTGTGAAGGACATCTTCAAGTGTCTCTGCATTATGCGAAACAGCTGTTGGGGAAAGGACTGATAGCATTCAGAAGGGATAATGGAAGAATGCATAACTGAGAACTCCTAAGGCATTCCCTGAGTTGATGGGAGGATGTTCAAAGGAAAGAAGATGCAACATGCAAATACGCATCAGGAACCTCGCAAAGAGGGATCTAGGACATTGTGTTTCTAGATTTCTAGTCTGCAGCTAACTTTAAACAAGGGCTGTATTTTTTGAATTGAGCAAGAGACAGAAGGGCCACCCATGCTTTCTGGCAATGTAACAGTGTAAGCCAAAATGAAGGGCTCCTTTGACTGCTCTTCTCCAGAGTGGACACCAACAGTGACTTTGTGAGAGGGTGCTGTGATGCTCAACCTTCCCTTTGCTGTGTATTCACTCACACACAACAGTAGAAGGGAAGAACTCTGCTAGAATTTTTGTTCTGTTGCTGCTGTGGAGTGAAAGAGCTTGAGATTGTGTCAAGGACAGCAGTGTCCTTGGAACAGGATAATTTAGGATCACCTGTGACCCTGCTTATTTTCAAAGTCTTCTGGCACATGTAGGGAATTTAAGAGAGTGGGGAGCAGTTCTCATTTTGCCTCCTTCCTTTTAGTCCTCCAGAGGACCTGGGGGAGGGGTTGAAAGAACCTGCTCACCTTAGAGTTCCTGCTGTGTATAAAGTACTCTGCCAAGGGAAGGGTGTCTGGGTAAGTGACTTTTTGCAAGAGATTCATGATTATCATGGACCTGGCTTTTTAACATTGGGGTTATGTTGGGGGGTCAGGTGCCTATCCCTAGTCTTTAGATTGAACACTTAAACTGAGTAATGGGATGGCTGTGCTTGAAGGAGGGGGAAAACGTGATCACCTGACCTGCAGTGAGAAGTTCAAAGAAGGCAGACTTGAAATTTGGCTTCCTGATTTAAAGAACTAAATATTTTTGCAGGCTTTTTAAAAAACTGTTTTGTTGCTCCCTCTCCTGCCCCTCCCTCCAAATTATTAACTGGTATCACTTAATAAAAATGTAACTTTTTAATATGTGTATTTGTTTACACTGTAATGTGCTGTCCAGAGCTATGATACTGTCATATGGTTATAATACAGGTGACGTTTCTTTTCTTAACCAGTAGTTTTCTTTTTCAGAGCTAAAGACATCAGTGTTCGATGACTGCTGGAAAGAAGAAGAATGGAAGGTAAGACTAATAAGTGATTTGCTGGTATCACAGTTCAGGGCCAGCTCATCCATCCATTAGACTGCATGCTCTTCATCTATTTATTTAAGGCATATCTGCGCAGTGAAGTAGGGTAGAAAATTTTCCAATGCAATATTTTCCCATGGAATATTTTCTGCCTCACATATGGGATAAGAAACACGTGCAAACCCTAGTAGTGGTACATGATCCAGGTTTGTACATGGTGTATTGGTGACATTTAAATTTTGCTAATATTGTTTATTTAACTTGCACTGTTCATAATTTCCTGGAAAACATTTAAATTTTGCTAATATTGTTTATTTAACTTGCACTGTTCATAATTTCCTGGAAAACTCACACATCATGGTCTGCACTGTTGTAAGCTTCTCAGACTGCAATAGGTAACTTCTCCTCCTGCAAATATTTTAGCCCCTTCTTCAAATACATTCAAGCCAAAGAATTTATGTTCAGTATTATGTAGACCTGTTCTTATTTCTTAGGCATATGCTTTTACCAGCCAAATGAATGGAATGTTTGTCTCTCTTAAAATCCAAAATCCCTTAAGAGAGAATAAAAAGCAGAACAGTCGTATTTCAGCCCGGTTCTGTGAAGTGTTGTAACTGACTCATAGCATGTTAAACAGCTGACAGTTGTGTATGAGAGATATTTACCAATATGTAAGTCTAAGTTTATGATCAATAGCTGTTAAGCTCTCGCCCATAAATGGGCACTAAAAGTGGGTTTAAATGAAGACCTCTATAAATAACATTTAGTTGCCTAAATTACCACTTTGATTTTGTTTTTGTTTTTGAAAAAAGATAATTCTTCTCGATGACTTCACCACCAAGCTTCTGGCGTCATGCGGTAAAATGACAGACTTACTGGCAGAGGGAATAACTGGTAAGTGCCTGCTGAGCAGATGTCAGTCTTTACACGGAAGAGAATCTTGCCAGCTGAAGCCCTGGCAAGGAATAGCCACTAACTGTCCCCCGTCCTTTAAACTCCTGGAACACTTTCACCTCCTTTAAAGGTTTTATGAGAAGTTATCTGCTTAATGAGCTAGCTATGTCTATTTTTGCAAAATGTCCAGGCCCTTCATTGCTTTTTACATGTCTTAGAATCAATATCTGACCATTCTGGCACTAAAAGGGTTTGTTTACCTGTAATCACTTTCTGGTTCTTCCTCTTCCTTGGAGAATATATGCAGAAATCCTTAAGAGCAATTGCAGCTCTTAGTAACTCACAAATTTCTCTCCAGCTGGCAGTGAACAATCTAGTGTCAGGCAGCCCACTGCATAGAAATAAAAACAAAACCTTGTGTCCAATAGAGGGTGGTGGTATAACTGATTATCAACACTATTGTTTGTTCTCTTCTCGCCCTCTCATACTTCCTTTTAGCCAACAAGACACTGTCTGAATACAGATATAATGAGGATTGTGGGGTTTGAGAGTTTAAAGCATTATTTAATTTTCATTTATTTACTTCATTTACTTTCTCACTGAGCCTTAAGGCAGATTACAAAACATAAAAATCATTTCAAACAAACAGCAAAGACTCCAATAAACAACGTCGGTAGGACTAGGATTACAGAGCTGGAAAACAATGCAGAAAAAGGGCAATAAAGCCAGTCTAAGTCGTCACAAACCATAATGCAGAAAATAGGTTGCAAAGCTAGAAGACAATGCAGTGAAAGGAAGTTGATACACACAATAAAGTACAATCCTTTCCCTTATGAAAATGACCTCCTGAGCTGTTCCATTTGTATTACAGTTCTCATCCGTTTATGAAAGTGCTGTCTTGAACATTTATGTTTTGTACTTTTTGCAAAGTGATTGAAGTGTGTGGGCCTTCCTGGCCTAATAATGCTGGATCCAGTAATAACCCCTTGGCTTTTAACTGATCCAGCAAGTGTCAGGTGGACCCCATTAAAAGTGGGAAGCACAATGTCCTTCAGGACATCAGCCTTCTCGACCAACATTACCTCTGTCTTGTCAGTATCCAGTTTGTTCACCCTTTGCCATTTCACTATAGCAGTAGGGCACTGGTTCAGGACCTCTACAGCATTACCAGGCAGTTTGGAAAAAGAAAAATAGAACTAGGTGTCATCAGTGTATTGGTGATGGCCTGCTCCAAAGCCACAAATAAATCCCTCTAAGGGGAATAAATAAAAATTGCATGTTTCTGTTCTGAAAAATGTTAGGTAGAGATTTCAAGGCAAAACACTGACAGGTCTTTCATCAATGAGGAGGCCCAGCTTTGGATGAAGGAACATGAATCCTCTTGCGTCATACCAGAGAGCGGCATCTTGAGTATCTTCCTTTAATTATGGGATTAGGTGTTGTTATCATTCTTGGAAGCATTTGATGACTGTGCATTTGAGGAAGTAAGAAAGCCAGCATCAATGAAGAGCAGCTGGGAAATGTTGAAGTTGTGGATGTTTCCTCTGCTATAATTTTTTCCTAGCCATCGAAAACTGACAAGTGGAAGAAGATGAGCTAATCTTCTTCCACATAACCATTTTTAGAAATCAATACCTGCCCTTCATTCTTCTAAACAGAATTCTGAAAACACAAAGAAAAAAATGTATACATACCGGTCTGCTGGTTCAAGGCAGCTAATAATTATGTACATATTAAAGTACATATTCATTAAAATCGAGCAAATCCAGCCAAGAGCATCCCCCATTCCACAGAGCTTCACGATATAGTTACATCATGGAAACAAAATCCCCTTGACAAAGATCAGCCATGCATTTCCTCCTGAAAGAGAGCAAATGGCACTCTGCTGCTTCTCTCACTGGCTTTCTCAGATCTGGGCTGCTTTTGCTATCTGGCTGTTACTGACTGGGGAGATTAATACCCTTTGCACATGCTCAGAGTCTGTTTCTTTTGATTATTTTTCCCGAAGTTATGTAACAATAATTCAGTAAATGTATATCCATCCATAAATAACCAGCCCCTTAATGATAATTACTACTACTAAAATCTGTACTTATGCTAGCTCTTAATTATAAATTTATGTTTTGACATTTCTTTGCTACACTTCAGAGTCTCCAAATACTCTCTTGTCCATCTTCCTTTGTGCAACTGCCCTCAGGTTCAAACAGAAAGTAAAGCTGGATGTGCCTGAAAGGCTACCCTGTTAGATGTGTCATTCTTTATAAGTAATGAATTGCTAAAAGGTACATCACTATCTTGTGCTCTGTGGCCAGTGTTTGAACATTGATCAGTCACTTCTGAGGCACATAGGTAGTGAGTTGACATGGGATTTAGGATACTGGGCTTGAACTGTAAGCCACATTTGACAATGAAGATATTGACATACTATCCGATAACTACCGTATCGTGGAAATGAGTGTAGCAGTGTAGCCACAGAGTTGCAATCAATGCTCCCTATAAGCTGTGGAGTTTTGCGAGCAAAAAAATCTACTCTGTGAGCTACTGGCAATAAAGTTGTGAGCGAATTATTTGGCTACTGCATAAATTAGTTTGCTCTGGAGCCATCCTTCCTGAGCCAAGACAAAAATGTGTGAGCTGGAGGCTAAAAATCTGTGGGCTAACTCACACTAACTTAGCTTAGAGGGAACTCTGGTTGCAATGCTCAGTGGCACTGTGATTGGTGGATACCAGCTCCTTTTTTGCTTCTTAAGTGGTTTTGCTCCACATCTTCCTTCTTAGTCCCTGTTCTCTTCCTAGTTCAACCTCTTTGGACTAGTTTGCTGCTTCATTTGCACCTGTACCTCAGGCTCCTGGCTCCTTCAACTCTTTGTTGAACAAAGGGAGCATATTTGCTTTTGCCAGCTGTGGCCATGTCTGTGTCAAGAGAGTACTGCATCTTTATGTGTTATACCTCTGAGGATGCCAGTCACAGCTACTGGCGAAACATCAGATCCTACAATGCCAAGACCACGACCATATAACCTGGAAAATCTACAACAGCCAGGGGTCATTTCCTGCAGGAGCGCACAGGAGCGGAGCTCTGGCAGTGAAGAGCCCAGGGGGCCCAAGCACATGCAACAAGCCCCACCCCCTGCTCCCAGCAGCCCTCAGTTAGAGCAAGAAGCAGCCAGGTAAGTTGCAGAGGCCCCCCCCCGGCCCCTGGTCCAAAACAGTCCAGTGGCACCCTTAAGACCAGGTTTTATTCAGGTACAAGCTCTCTCTCCTCTGCGAAGACAGATCTGCACGTCCCCCCCCCTCGATAAGAGTAATTAACATAGGGCTGCCAAGTCCCCCTGGTGGGCGGATTTCCCCCCGCTTTGGAGGCCCGATTTCCGCCCCCGCAGAATTGGGCCCCGGGGAAAACCCCACCCCCGCGAGCACGTCACAGGCAAGTGACATCATGACGCCGGGCACGCTGGGGGCGGGGCCACAGCCATTTGAGGGGAAAACATAGTGGGGGCGGAAATCGGGCCTCCAAAGCGGGAGGAAATCCGCCCCCCGGGGGGAATTGGCAGCCCTAATGAGCTCCTGTACCTCTTTTTCTACGAAATGACCCCTGACAACAGCTAAAGTTCTAGTTTCTCTTGGAACAATTCTGAAAGGCCAAATAAATTGCTGTATTTCTATGAAAGCCTTTTGTCTCTAAAAGGCACCATTAATCTTACAAATTGCAGCAGAGGGTGTTTAGTCGCTCCTTTTGATGCATCTCCATGCTGGCTTATGCAAAATGTGTTGGAGTTTTTATAAAATTCAGCAGAGTTAAAAACAGCTTAGCAATGCCAGAGTTCAATAATCAGACGCAGAGTCCATTGGGTGTTTAAAATATAAAAGATTTACTACAATTCTATCATAGGGGAGGGTAACTGGGAGAAAATAACAACACAGCTATATAAGCTACATCCTCTCTCTACAAAGTACAAGACTAGAAGACGTAATGGCCACTCTCTAACATGCTTCTTCTCCAAACAGAACAAAGAGGGGAAGAGGGGCCATAAAATGCAAAGACACTAACACTTTGCTTCCAATCAAACTCTCAGAATAGGGATGCTTTTCGCGGGCTTGTAGTCCTAAGCTAACATTGGCTAACACAAAGGCAGGTGATTTCCTGTGACAACAAAACAGACATTTAACCCCATACACACACACTGAGTGTTTTCAACATGCAATACCCAACAAAATGGCTTTTTATCCAGAGAGTGCTTTTGAAAGTGATATTGGCTGTAATTTTTTGTCCTGTCTGTTATAGCTACACTCATATTTGTTTTTGACAGGGCAGGCTGTTTTGAGCTTACAGAAAAACAGCCAGCTCCATTTCACAAATAGAGAAAGCACATACACATCCTGTGTGCGGTGGGAGAGGGAGAGAAAGCAGCATGAAGATGGCATATTTTGGCCACTCAGTCACACTATCTGGTCAGTTGGGGAAATTTGTGGTCTTGGCTCTTAGCTGTGGTGTTGGCCTTAGGGTTGCCAAGTGGAACTTACCTTGGTGGCGGGAGAATCCTGGGTGGATCCCGGAGCGCGTGCGCACCACGCACACGTCACAAGGAAGTGACGTTATGACGCTGGGCACGCTGGGGGCGGGGCCACAACCATACAAGGGGAAACCATAGACTTTTCCCTTGTATGGCTGTGGCCCCGCCCCCAGCGTGCCCAGCATGCCCGCGTCACTTCCGGGTGATGCGCATGTCGGGAAGGCGTTCCCCCCGGGGCCCGATCCGGCGGCGCTGGGGAACGGGCCTCTGGGGCAGGGATTTCCCCGCCCCCTGGGGGGACTTGGGATCCCTAGTTGGCCTGATTAGATTACCCTGATGGATACCAACCCAGGGTGTCTTGCCTGCTTTTTGTTTTGAGCTGTGTTTTATGAAAAGTTGTTTAAATGTGTATTTTTGTAAGCTACTTTGTTTCCCCATTAGGATACAATAAATAAAATAGTCCTATGAGTTTTTATTCCTGCCTTTGCCCCACGTCATTCTTTCAGGCACAGCTCACCATTTTTGGAATTGCGTGCCAAAGCCTTGGGTCCTAAAGTAAAAAGTGTTAAACTCTAAACATCGGTGGGATTTTTGAGCTGACATACCATTTTCTGATAGGTCCAAAAAGGAAACTCCACAGTCATAAAAAATTCCTTGTGCCATGTATCAAGTGTTCATGTAACAGGATGAGAGGATTGGTAGTCTGGTACCAATACAGCAGTGGTATCAGTGGCTAAAAAGGGAAGATGAGTGAGGGGAATTACAGTGATGTGACATTCCCCCCCCTGTAACTTTTATAAAATTAAAGCATCTTTTAGCTGTAAAAAAAAAATTCCTGAAATAGGGGTCTAAAGTGTGTAAACCTTTGTCTCATTTTGCTTAAAGGGTAAATGTAAATGTGATTAATCTCTTGGGGGGGAGTGCTTGTATGATGTAAGTGATGGTGAGCAACTTATTTCCTCTTAATTTCCTGTGTGTTGCCCCAAATATCTGTATTTGTGTGTGATCAGTAATTAAAAAAATGAAAACCTTGGACTGGAGAAAATCAATGCCACTATGAAGCACTCTACCATCTAATTCTGGTGGGAGGAGATTATAGCCTTTTCTAACTTGTACATTCACAGACATATATCCAGTAGTGGATCTATAGGCTGGCCTTGCAGCAATCTGACAAATACTAATTTTAAATATGAAAATCACCAAGTAATGGCAGCAGTAATTACCAGGTATTGGTTTCTCTGGCGTCTGTATGGAATAGGGTTGTATTGAGTACATGGCTGAGATCAGGGAAACACACAGTTCCCAAGGTTAGAAATCATAACACCTATCAGCAAAACTTTATTCTAGCTAATAGTATTATTTACTTATTTTATATACTTATGTCTTTCTTTCCTCCCAAATGGGGACCCAAAGCAGCTTGCAACATTGTTCTCCCCTCCTTTATTTCATCCTTACTACAACAACCTTGTGAGGTAGATTAGGCTGACAGAGTGACTGTCCCAATGTCACTTAGCAAACTTCCTTGGCAGCGTGGAATTTTTGTTTCAGCCCTCTTAGGAACATAAGAGAAGCCCAATGTTGCATCAGGCCAATGGCCCATCCAGTCCAACACTCTGTCACACAGTGGCCAAAAATGCCAGGTGCCATCAGGAGGTCCACCAGTGGGGCCAGGACACTAGAAGCCCTCCCACTGCTGCCCCCCCAAGCACCCTCAGGTAATTTTTGTTTCAACCCTCCTTTTCCCTTTGACCAGTTCTCAGCTGCTCTCCATATTCTATAACTCCTGAAGTATGTTCAGTCCCCATTAGGCCCATTTAGGGGGAAGGGGTTTTGCTTACCTGGGGAACCTTTCAAGTATGTAGAAACCCTTACTTTGCTTGTGGTTGGCCTGATTTTACTGCTTTCATGATGGGGTCAGCTACTTCAATAGTACATTAAACACTGTAGTAATAGTTTGATCTTTACCGCGTATCATAAGCTGTATATTTAGGTGCAGTTGTTTGCTGTGACAAACTTTGAATATGAGTGTATAGAAATATTAATTCTAAAAGTCCATGCCTTCTCCTGTGCTGTCTTTCTGATAACATGCTGTGTCTTGTTTCCTGTTGAAGCCAAATGACCTGTCCATTTGGCCAGAGAAACTTTATAACCATGCCATATAACCACACATTCTTTCACACCTTTAAGGGAAGAGGCAGACCTGATGGCGCCTGGCTCTGCCTCACATGCAAAAAGTCATGTCAGCAATGGAGAAGCTGGAGTTTGGGGTCATGTGACTGCAGGCGTGGTCTCCAAACTTCTAGCCATTCCTGTGTTGCAGCCATGACAACCAACAATTGGGCACACCCATGCCCACTCGCAATTGGCTAATAGCCACATCTAATTTGTGACTGGAATTGGGCTATAATTGTTCAATCCCAATGAGAGAGACTCTCTGTTCTTGCTCTCTTGGTCTCCTGTTGTTGCCTGTTTATTGCATCTGAAAATGCTGTCCTTTGAAGAGACAAAGGACTGCTTTGTGACTTAAAGCACATGGATTGCAAAAATGGGATTTTCCTTCAAAATCCCTTGGACTATTTTGGACTATTTTGGACTGTGGAATGTTCCTGAAGTGGTAATTATGTATCTCTTACTGTGTAGTTAAGGCAAATCGCCTTAGGCTTGTTATTTTGGTAAACTCTGGTAGTCTGTGCTAAGCTCTGTACTGAATAAAAAATTAGTCTTATTTCTAAATGGTCTCTGATATTGTACCTGAGTTCCAAGTCTAAACTCCTGTGCCTAGGCTGACCACAAGCTACCATTAAGCGTAAAGTGTGCAGCTCTGAGTAGGGTTGCTAATGTGTTAAGTACCAGATACCAACTGAGAGTTTGAACCTCTAATCTCAGGTTGGGGGGAACTAATGTAGAGGTTCTGGTGGCACATGGTTCTGAAACCAGAGAGGGTTTAGACCATCTCTTGGTTTGTTGTTTGATGTACTGTAAAAGTACAGGATTACCTCTCATCCCTGGACTGGCGTGAGGGGCTAAATCCCTGTACAATGAGTCAGCATTAAAATATTTGCATTTTAGCAAATATTTTATTTATTTATTTATTAGACTTTTAGCCCTCCCTTTCCTGCACAGCAAGGCTCAGGGGAGGTAACAACAAGTTAAAAAGCTATCATAAATTATTTGTTAAAAACAAATTAACATAGTAACCAATCAAAATTGAAAACAGATGGTGACTTAGGCACTAATAACAGAAATTATCAAAAGTGAGGTTGCGCAGCCCATGTGTCAGTGTAGACTGGTATAGTGAGAGAATGGATGACAGGGACTCGGGGAGGAGACCAGGGGAGGCCAATTTAGATGGTAGCATCGCTGCCTCAGCTGTATGCCTGGTGAAACATTACCATTCCACAGGCCCTGTGGAACTGGACCAGGTTTCGCAGGGCCTGGATCTCATCTGGAAGGGTGTTCCACCAGGCTGGAGCCAGAGCCAAGAAGGCTCTGGCCTGGGTTGAGGCTAGATGAATACTTTTTGGGCTAGGCCCAAACTTTTGTAAGCGTATACAGTACTTTTTGCCCTGAGCTGGCCATGGCCGGGAGGGTGGGATAAAAATCTAAATAATAAATAAATAAATAAATAAATAAAATAATCGATCTCTTATCTTACAGTTGTGGAGAATGTTTACAAAAATCGTGAACCGGTCCCACACATGAAAGCCATTTACCTCATCACACCTACAGTAAAGGTTAGTTTTCCAAAGAAAATAATGCTCTAGATTGTATAGTTTATTTTCATGCTTTTTTTTCTTGTGTAGAAGTTATATATACATATATAACAATTTTATCTCTTATGGTAAATTCTTACTTGAATTACTGATCTAACTCACATGACTGGGTTAGATCCGAACTCCCCTTCTGCAGAGCAGCAGGGCACTTCTTCTGTAATAAAAGAAGGGGGCAATAGCTGCCACATTTCATGCAGAAGGTCCCCTGATTGTCAGTAACAGCTTTTTGAAGGGTAAAAGGGAAGCTACAGTGGAAACGGAGAGGTGGGAAATATTGAGGTCCAATCATTTCACCACTTTCAGAGTGGTGGTGCAGAAAAGCTCAAGAGAGGGCTGTAGTAATCTGCCATCAAACTTATTTTGAAGGTGCCTTGAGGTGGCTTCTGCCTCGTATTTGGGGTCTTTTAAATACACTTTTTATGTTTTCATATTGTTTGTGCAAAGAATTTGTCTTCGTGCCAATGGCTGTGCCCACTCTTTCACCTTTATGTTGCCACTCTGCGGCCTAGTTCCCATGGTCAAGGGACTGAGGTGGCAGTAAAGTGACAGTGCTAAAGTGGTAGCATGGGTTTTGCCACTTCAGACTACAGGTGGAGGAATACATTTTGGTATGCTCCCCTGTGTTAAAAGTACCTTGCCAAATAGCAAGGAAAAGGGGTATGACTGTTCTCCCTAACATGCTGGGGGGCACTGTACTGAATAAATATCAGGGGTGGCCAAACTGTGGCTTGGGAGGCACACGTGGCTCTTTCACACATATTGTACGGCTCCTGGCAGGGTGGCTGGGGAAGCTAAATATCATTAGCAAACAAATTATCATTGGACAAATAAATATCATTATCAATATCTGCTTTTACCACTTTCGTTATTATTTTTGGCAGTCTCATTTAATGTTAATAAAAAGCAAATTTGCATATTTCCCAGTTAAAACATGTAATATTTGTTCATGTCTTGCGGCTCTCAAACATCTGACATTTATTCTGTGTGGCTCTTAACGTTAAACAAGTTTGGCCACCCCTGTTTTACACACACACACACACACAAACACACACACACACATTCGTGGCGGGCGTCAACTACCTGTATTCTCAAGTGGTGAAATCAATTCTACCATCTCAGGTCTCTGTCGTCTTATGGGTAAACTAGGCCTCAGGCACTAGAAATATGTTCAAGTTAGGGATATTAGACTTACTTTGACCATCTGTCAACTGGTCACTTCTAGAGTAATACTGTCTAGAAATATATGAGCAGTGTTTTTTAAACGTTTTCACAATGCCTTGAACTGGCAAAATAGCAGTTGGTAATGATATTCATAATTAACTGCAAAATACTGTGTTAATTTTCAGTCTGTAGAGGGGCTTATATATGACTTTGCAAGTAAATCATCCAGCAAGTACAAAGCAGCCTATGTTTACTTCACTGACTGTAAGTATTTATTGATTGATACGAATGAATGTAATTGTCTGATTTCCATTTTTTTGTAGCTAGAACGTTGAGCTATCTTGTGACACTGGTGGGCATTCTCCAGGAGTTGGAGAGAAATGGGAGAATTACGTTTATCTTAACCCTGGCAGTGGTGGAAAGTGCCATCAAGTCACAGCTGACTTATGGTGACCCCACAGAGCTTTCAAGGCAAGAGATGCTCAGAGGTAGCTTGCCATTGCCTGCCTCTGCATCATGACAAGCTGCTATTCACTGCCTTACAAATGTGGACAGATCATTAGAAGTTCAGCTGACTGTTTAGATGCCTGGGGCACTCCCTTGCACCCTCATATACTCTAGTTCTCTCCCTTCCAGTTTGGTGTAGTGGTTAAGTGCGTGGACTCTAATCTGGGAGAACTGGGTTTGATTCCCCACTCCTCCACTTGCACCTGCTGGATGACCCTGGGCAAGCCGTAGTTCTGATAAGAGCTGTCCTTGAAAAAGAGCAGTTTCTGTCAAGAGCTCTCTCAGACCCACCTACCTCACAGGGTGTCTGTTGTGGGGAGGGGAAGGGAAAGGAGTTTGTAAACCACTCTGAGACACCTTTGGGTAGTGAAGGGTGGGGTATAAACCCAATCTCTTCTTCTTCTCTTCTTCCTAGTTGATATATCTGAACCGAGCTAGCTGTGGTTTGCACAAAACAGAGCTTACCTGCGAATCAGAACTGGAAGCCACAATCTAATCAAGGTTTTCATCTCTGGTTTGCAGCATGCATCCAGATATGGATTTAATTTTAAACTTTGATTTGCTGCACACCATGTCAGGGAAAGAGTTTTAAGCATGTGAGAAGAGAAGAAGAAATGGTGTCCATGAGTCCGGGACTTGTTCAAGTAATACCAGACAGGCCTAGTGAACTGGCCAACATGGATTGTAACATGAATTCAGTCTTGAAAAGAACTGGAACATCATAAGCAAAGCAAGAACAGCTTGGGAAAGGGAGCTGGTATGCAGTTTGTTTTCAGCATTGCTTTATTTTATCCTGTATTAACTTTGAAACATTTGCAGTGCCAATACAACAGTACACAAATCTTACGGCAGCTTGCAATATTATGCAATGAAGACATGGTTTCATTGAGCTAACCATGTTAATCTGTCGTAGCAAAAACAAACAGGGGTCTTGTGACACTTTGGAGACTAACAACATTTTATTCCAGCACAAGCTTTTGGGAACCAGAGCCCCCATGGCTTCAGGTGCTCCCACGATCAGTGTGTGATTGAAAACAGAATCTCAGAAGCCATGTCAGCACAGATGTAGCATATATTTTCCAATTATAACAATCAAAAGCAGCACACTACTTATGCCTCACTCTAGAATGGAAGGTTTTTGTGGTTGAAAGTCCTGGCCTGAGACAACTGCTTTGGGGGAATTCTGCAGTAAGAGTCACCACTGAAAAGTCACTGATTCTTATCTCTGTCAAACTGGCCTGATAACAAATGGTCATGAAGTGCTAGCTTGAAAATAGTTGGTAAATATTTTAGTGTTCCAAGTCCTGCTTCTGTGATGATGCTTAATAAAAAGCTTGCCTCTATCAAAGCAATGCTGTATACATTTGGGGAGGAAAGTCAAAGGATTCGGTCCAATGTGCCATGAGTACAACTGTATTTATAGAAGGACTTTTCTTCCTGCCTGCTGCAGCCCACCATAGTCTCCTGAAACACTGCCCTTGGCGGCAGGAGACTCATATGGACAGTATTTATTTATTCCATTTGTATCTTGCCCTTCCCGCAAACAGGCTCAGGGCGGCTTACATTAGTTGGTACAGAGTACCATAAAATCCACATAAAGCATTTAAAACATTATAAAACAATCAGAGAATCATAAAGTGCTAGTAATAGTAGTCATTCCATCATTAATTGAGATGGCGTGCTAGCTGATATAATTTCCAACTCTGTGTGGCTCGATCTCAGGGTTGGGGCTGACCCATAACCACAGATGTTGGGGGCAATGGTGAGGGTGGCTCCTAGTTGAAAGCCTTGTGGAAGAGCTCCGTCTTGCAGGCCCTGCAGAACTGTAAAAGATGTACTGAGTGTGATGTGAGGCTCTGGACATGACAGAGTGATTAGCAAAAATCACTCCCTCTCTCTTTCGCTAGTGGAAATGCCCATCTGCCTGTGGAAAATGAGATTTTGATTGAACCCTTGGCTTTTTCTTAGTTGCATTTTTCAATATGGTGACTTTCTTTGCACAGGCATTACTTTTAACACCTTTTAATTTGTTTCCCTCTTAGTTTGCGATGACAAACTTTTCAATAGAATGAAGTCATCTTGTTCAAAGGCTATAAGACGGTGCAAAGAAATAAATATAAACTTTCTCCCCTATGAATCACAGGTAAATTTTTTACTGAACTCTTATTTCTGAGTCCTTTTATAATGTAGCTATGGGATGTAGCAGCCAGAGTGCTCCGTGTGTGTGTGTGTGTGTGTGTGTGTGTGTGCCACAAATCTATGGGAGCACAGGAAAATAAAAGCAAAATCTGGTATTAGATTTCAGTGACCAGCTTTCCAATAATGGGGTTTTTTTTAATACCCCACCCTCCCCTGAGGAGGGTGGAGGGCGGGGTATAAATTTAATAAAATAATTTAATAAAATAATTTTTAAAAAAGAAAAAAGTATGTAGCAATTTCTACTGAAATTAGATTTCCAGTACTTTGTGGTGGGTATTCAGTGTTCTGAATAGCTCCTTGCCCCTTCTCATGACTAGCACAACCAGAGTAAATCATGCAAAAACAAAAGAATGCAGAATTATGCAGAATAAGATATACAGATTTACTCAGTTTGCATGATATATGCAAATCCCAGAATTTATTTTTTCTTGGTACTGAATATGGATGCCTAGGTACAGAATATTAACTTTTCCCCCCAGTATGAAGCAAATACAGCCTGTGATATACTTATGGTAAACTTGTACCAAATGGATCTCTTATAACTTAGCCGTCTTTGGCAGTCTGCAGATTGGGGGATGCACAGTTAAATGCTAACAAGGAGGTATTGATATGTTTTAATGACATGTCACTGTTCCTAGAAATTATGTAAGAAAGAGGTGTCTTCTGAGGAGTTTCTAGCTGAAATTTCATAACCCTAAACCTGGTTCTCATTAAACATTTTATATATATATTTGTGATGGAGTAGGGTATGCTTCTTTTCCATGTTTTATATGTACATCTGAGAAGTGTCAGTTTAATTTTGCCAGGAAATCTTCAGATTTTCGTCATGGCTGTTTTATCCGGGAGCAAGAAGTGTCTCTCCTTTGGCTTGGAACTTAGCCTGTTTCAACTCTATAAATGCTTCCTTGTATACTGAATTATCTTTTCCTCGTGTGTCAGGACAGACAATATCTGTCTCAAGATTAGCTCTCCCATTTATTGTGTTTGTACATGATATTTGAATTGATAGGATTATCCTAACACATGGCATGGTTGGAATTGATCTTCTAGGTAACCCTTTTACCTTATGAGAGAGTTTCTTTGGAGTGCTCCTTTGGAGTGCATTGTTGTCCTCAGTAGGTTTCCCACTGTTGAGATGATTTTCATGGATAAAGGTAAAATGCCTTATCCCTTGAGAGAGAGCAGGTTTGAGTAGCCTCACTTTCATAAAGCACACTTCAGTCTGGAAAGGAAATTCCTGTTTGGAATTTGCCAAAGTAGTTTTGAAGGTACACTCAGATTGGTGACGGAAGTTATTTTAACTCCAGGAAGCTGAGAATTTCCGTCAATAGTTTGCATCATTAGTAAATGGGAAGAAGTGAATGTACCTTTAAAAGGTCATATTAAAATAGATGTTTCTAGATAATAAATATTTACTATGCAGAAGTTTCCTTGTCCCTTAAATATGCTAAAGGTTAGAGGAGGGGGAAAGCTGATCCCCCCCCCTTAGATATCGCTGGGCTACGTCAGGTTAGATATTCTTAATGGATGTATTTTGGTAAAAACATAGTTCTCAAATGATCTTCTACCTAGATACCTCTGACATGCTAGTATCCAAACACAGTCTAATGAAACTGTTTCTTGATTATGCTTGACTTAGGTATTTACTCTTGATGTCCCAAATGCGTTCTATCACTGTTACAGTCCCAGCACAGAGAAAACAAATGATGCCGTACTGGAGCAAATGGCTGAACAAATTGTTACCTTATGTGCTACTCTAGAGGAAAATCCAGGTGTAAGGTATAAAAGGTAGGTCAGAAAAATTGTTTTTAAAATACTGCAGGAATTGTGGATGCTGTGATAGCTACACAGTAAAATAATTCTGTGCTATGAGCAGTTCGGGACTTACCATGTTGTCTGTTGAGAAATGGAAGGCGACAGTTTGTAGTAGGGTAGGTTTTTGTGCTTACCTTCTCTGTCGATGGCACTTCCTGCTTGGTGGGAATTCCAAAAGAAACAAAGAATTGGCTAAGACTGCTCATTCAGAAGTGGGTGTCCTTGTCTAATGTTGTTCCACATTTTAACTCTGTCTGAGAAGAGGGGTAATTCAGAAATGAGCAAGCAAATTAAAATAGCTGCGTTCTAGGGAGTTCCATCTTGTGAACTCCATATTCAGAAATGAGGACTGCACAAAATACTGGAAGTGGGGTGATGGTGTCTGGCATCCCCAGTGACCTACAGATGATTAAATCATTATAATTTGCATAAGACAAATAACCTGTACTAGCTCATGAACATGTACTTCAATATTATTCTGACAAAGTTCAGCATTATGTATATCTTTCCTCTTTCAGTAAGCCTTTGGACAATGCCAGCAAACTAGCACAGCTAGTTGAAAAAAAGCTTGAAAACTTCTATAAAATTGATGAACGCAGCCAAATAAAGGTAAAACTCATTTTTTCCTCCTGGAAGGATAGGATGGGAACTCTATGATTCCCAAATTTCATAGCTTGGCCGTTTTCTTGCACAATATAACTGGGAAAGATAAATGCTTTCTGTGACGAACTGACAGGATGCTTAGTGCATCAGAAGCAGTGAACTGGGAGATTAGGGGTTAATGCCTCACTGTAAAGCACAGTTTGACTAGCTGCTGTCTCCCCCCCCCCCCCCCTGTCGCGCGACTGGTCTGCGCCAGCTAAGGAGAACTTTCAAAAGTCTTGTCAGCAGTGTTCCCTCTAAGCTGAGTTAGTGTGAGCTATCTTACAGTTTTTTAGCCTCTGGCTCACATATTTTTGTCTTAGCTCAGGAAGGATGGCTCCAGAGCAATGCTCCCTCTAAGCTGTGGAGCCTTGTGAGCAAAAATCCTACTTTGCGAGCTACTGGCATTAAAGTTGTGAGCGAGCGATTAGGCTACTGTATAAATTAGTTTGCTCTGGAGCCGTCCTTCCTGAGCTAAGAGAAATACGTGTGAGCTGGAGGCTAAAAAACTGTGAGCTAGCACACACTAACTCAACTTAGAGGGAACACTGCTCCAGAGCGAAATAATTCATGCAGTAGCCAAATCGCTCACTCATTGCTTTAATGCCAGTAGCTCACAAAGTAGAATTTTTGCTCACAGGACTCCACAGCTTAGAGGGAGCATTGCTTGTCAGTCTTGTCATAGGGAGTCAGTCATCCTTTGGACTTTGGCTTGGCAGTTGCAGTCAGGAGGAGTGTGTGTGTCAGTCTGTGGGAAGCAAACAAATCACTTGGAAAGTGAAGGGACACAACTCCTTGCTCTTACTCTGTACCAACACATTTGAGGAAAAGTTCAGAAATCAGAACTTAAAAGTCTTAAGTGTCAGCCCTAGCTGATTTCCATTTAGTCACAGTTTCCAGAACTGGAGTTTAGGCTTGACAGAAGAGACTGGAAAGGAGGTTGAAAACTGCCAGTGTAGCCAAACAGAAAAGGATTATCACTCCTAGAAAGAGGAGGATACTTCTTGTCCGGTTATTCAGAGGGTTCAACTCAGAAGGGACCCCTGGTTTGTGTGAAAAGGGAAACGGTCTTAGACTCCTCAAGAGTCTAAAAGGGAAAGTTATAATCCCACAAGGGAAGTATTTAAATACAGGAAGAAAGTACTAACTTCCAGGAAACTAAGATAGTTTTATAAAACTTTATTAAGTCACATTGTTGCTGAAAGAAATCTCCAAGACAAACAAACCTCTCACAGTTAAGAACTGAACCTCTAAGAATATAAGCTTCAACTATACTCTGTTGCCTGTTCAAAATATTATAATCTGTATAAACAACCAAATTTACTTCAACTTCTTATCTCCTGCCCTGTTCTTAACTTTCTCCCCTGCGTACCTGTGAACTGTGCCTGTTCAATAAAATCAACCTTTCTGTTTGGACTTTACTTCTTATCAAGTGCCATTTCCAAAGGGATTTATGAGAGGTCTTCTGCTTAGTTACAATAAATCTCTGCCCTGGATAAAAGCCAAATTTCTCTATCACAGGGTGGGACATGGAGAAATGTATAATTCTATAATTAAAACACGCTACTAAGTGGCTGCTCAGTCAGAGTGGGGAACAGTGTTTTGGTGGGAAAAGACAAAGCAGGGGTCAGTCATTATAGGAGCTCTTATGAAAGAAATTTGGAATGTATTCTTTAAAGCTGATGTACTGATTTGCTCGTCTTACAAGGGGATGACATTGAAAAATAATGTTAAAAAGAAGCAAGCCTTAAGCTGATGCTGGATAGGAAAACCTAATATATCAAGATCATGAAAAGCCCAGTGTAATTTCGTAAAATATGGGTGTAGGGGATGGTACTGACATATGATCTTTATTCTTTCACTGGTATTGCTTTATAGGACCCCAAAAGGTTCCCTGCTGAAGGAAAAGAATGTCAGGTTCCATTGCCCCAAATAAGTTTTTACTGAAACACATTGGAATGTTTATAACCTGTGTTCTGCTAGAATAACTTTCTTATCTAGCTCCAGTTTTTGTAGTTTTCATTTTCTGATGCTTCTCTTTATAAAAAAGAGAATGTTCTCTAAATATTTTGGTGACAAATGTGTGTTTTAAGTGGGATATTCAGTACTGCATTTTTCTGCTTTACATACCTGTGGATCCCCCCCCTTTTTAGGGCAAAACCCACTCCCAGCTGTTAATAATCGATCGTGGATTTGACCCTGTATCAACTGTGCTTCATGAACTCACTTTTCAGGCAATGGCTTATGATCTGCTACCAATTGAAAATGATACATACAAGCAAGTATAACTTTATGCAGACTTCTTATACTTTATTAGAAGTTGGTAGAACTGTTCAGTAACTTCAGAGTGAGTGGTTAAGCGTGCATCTTGCCATCTATCTTATTTTATTTTAGCTTTCTGTTGGCTGTAATGGAAATTAATTCCTAGGAGACATTATTTTAGACCGTAATCCAGACTTGTCTGCTTTCAAAACTATTTTCGGAATTCTGGCATTTGACATCTCCTGTTTAAGTGGTCTGTTCAGAAAGCCCCATGATAGCATGCTGTCTGTTTACTGCTTTGGGCTGTTAGGAACTGGTTTAAACACGTGGGATACACATTTGTGGCAAAATCCATGCTGGGTGCAGTACCCTTTCTTGCAATTACGACAACTTGTTTTATTTCTGATCAGGAAGTATCCATTAATGACGAATGCTAGGACACTCAACATCTTCAATTCAGTGCTGTTCATGGATGTTGACCTACAGGGTGTACAATCCTGTACAATACCCACAGCTTCCTGTCATATATTGCTGTTTGTTTAAAAGATGTCACATATATAACACTTCTGTCTATTTGGCATCATGTCCCTGGAGAAATATCACTAATGCGTCCTGCTTATTGTACACTACTCACAGAAGGCAGACTATCAGAATTTAAACTGAACATGGGATATACATATTGTTCCTTGTCCTGAAATAAGAGATCAGCCAGTATGGTTTTTCTGTTCTGTTTTTAAACAAACAAATACAACAGATAATCTGAAAAAAAAGTTTGTATTTTATGCCTCTGGTGCAATTAGTCTGAAAAGCCACCGTGTTTTTGCTGTTAGAAGTCATGAAAAGCACGTGGCATGTGGACTAGGATGGGCCCATTCTCAGTAGAAGTTTTCTTTCAGTTAAATGACAACTAGATGCAAATCTGTCTGAAGATTTTCTTTCTGTGGCATATTCTAAAATAACTCTTAATCAAGACCTGCTTGTAGAAACTAACATAAAAATTATAAAGTGTCATGGTTTGGGGCTAATGCAAAAAAAGTGTGCTTTTCCATTTTTGCAAATGATGCATTGCACATTTATTTCTGTGTTTCTACATTTATACTGCAAGCTGTGTTTTTTGCCAATCTGATAGGCAATCCTCCGGATTCATTTCTGAGAACTACGGATCCTATTTTGACGTTTGTAAATTGCACAGAAACCTCCATAGCAAAATCTCAGCTTCTAAGCAGGTGTATAGGGAGAAGAGGAGTAAGCAGTATATTCAGGGGTACCAGACCATAGTAACTGCAAAATCAGTACAGTCATAAGCATTTTAATAAACTAACTTCACATTTCCCCCCTCTTCTATTTTGACTGCTTGGCTGGTTGAATCAGTTTATGTGAGTTTTTCTACCTATCAGCAGTGTTTTGTGACATAGCAGCTAGAATGTTCTGTAGTATTTCTTTTCATAGGAATCTGTTTAATAAGTGTGTAATGCTTAATATGTTTTATAGATGTATGCAAAAAAATAATCACCGTTATCAGAGTCTATTCTGTGATTACATGTAAAAACAATATTTTGATTGTTTTTAAATGAGAGAACCTTTGCTTGCATCTCAAAGCCATTTCCTTGCTCCATACCCCAAAGTGGTTCCATTAACTGGAGAAGAAGCTGAATGTAACAGTTAACTGGCAGTCATTCTTAGGCTAAACAGTTTTGCACTCCAGTCGCTGCTGTGTTCATACATGCTGTTAAAACCAAACATGATTACCCTTTCAGCGTATCCTGTGTATGTTGACTTGGAAGTGTGTCCCATTAACTTCAGGAGGACTTGTTTCCTAGTAAATGTGTTTAGCGTTGCAGATTGGAGCCTTTGCTTCCCAGATAACTAGGTCGCTTCTGCATACTACTGTGCATCAGGTTATTTTATAATACACATTCACAAAGAGTCTCAGAAACATGTTCTGCAAGTTCAGCTATGTATGGTACAATAACCTCCCTTTTCCCCCTGTGTGCAGATACAAAACCGATGGTGCAAGTGGGAAAGAAAGGGAAGCAATTCTAGAGGAAGAGGACGACCTCTGGGTGAAGATCCGGCATAAGCATATTGCAAATGTTTTGGAGTATGTCTGCCCTTGCCTGCTTCTCATATTACATAATGACTAAACAGACTTCTAAATATGTTCAGTACTAACAATCAGTGTTGCTCAATGAATATGGCAAAATTAGGGGTCGACCCTGGAAGATCCGTTTCAGAATCCTTATTCAGCCAAAAGAACAGTGAGGTGTCTTGGAGCCACTCCAACTTTGATTCTTCCTTGCTGAGCATCCTATCACTTGTTGCATGGATGAGTTTCAGTTGTTGTAGCCTAAAGATGCAGACAAGGGCCTTGGAATGGTCTGGCCAGCTATGTATGTTGTAAATCGTTCCCCCCTTTCTTGATTGATTCTGGCTGAGCAATACTGGCCATGGTTATTAGACTTTGACAGTAAAGTCTTCTTTTGGTGAGGTGTGTGGGGAAAGGAGTCCTAGGCCTGTTTGAGCATATGAAACTGCTTTATACCATGTCAGACCATTGCTCTGCTTAGGTTGCTATTGTCTACTGTGACTGGCATTTACTGTTCAGAAGGGAGATGCAAATGGAGATCTGTGTGCACTTTGAACTGCTGAGCTGCAGTCCTAGTTTGAGCCTGGAAAAAATTCAGTTCCTCTTTTGTACAATGAGAATAAAATACTTGTACCCCATCTATTTTGTTTATTGCCACTGCCTAGCTGCATTATCTGCAAAACATACTAAACAAAAAAGAACCATGAAATATCAAGAGTTCTGTGGGCCAGTGTAGTGTTATCCTGAAACCCAGAGTCAAGAGAACATTCTGGTGTAGTAGAAAAATTACATTTTAGTCACACTGAAGACCTTTAAGGAAATAAAACCAAACAAAATGCTGTCTCATAATGAAGTAAGTGTTTAACCCCCACCACCACCCCTGAAAACTTGTTACATGACTCTGCAGTAAGACCCATACCTGTGTAAACAGGATGACCATCACAGACATCTCTGTCTTGCCCCTTAGCACCTTCTTAGATAGGAGGTTCACATAGACTTTGCAGTTAGTGAAAACACAACCATCCTGTGATAAATTACAGGGCCTCTCTGGGCAGGCACCCTTTTTCTAACAGTGCATGACCAGAAAGCGCACAGATCTAGGAGCTTTTAGATTAACACTTCAAGTTCTGCCACTACCTCACAGCTGTTCTTGGACTTCAGTCTTGCTTCAGGATTAGGCATTCTGTGATCGGACGTCTCTCCTCCTGCTTACCCAGTCTTTCTCGCTTTCCCTTCGTCTCACAAGTAAACTTTCTGTACCTCTCTTTGCCTTCTATTTGCACCATCACAGCTAGTTCTTCCACCACCTTTCATTTTTTTAGTTTAGACCTCTCCTTGCTGAAGCTGCCACCTAGGACTTAGCTGCCATAGCCAGGACTTTTTACTTTGGGGGGGGGGCATTTAAATAAATCGAGGGCACCCCCGCACACACCCCAAGGCTGTGTCAGGAGCGACGAGATCCTTACCTAGAATGTTTCTGTGTACAAGGAAAGGGGTGATTTTCACCAATTCCCTCAGGACCAGCATTTCAGGGAATGCTTGCAGCTTCTGGTAGAGTGAAGAATCAATGAAAACTGCCCATTTTCATTGTGTGCTTGAAAATTCTAGGTGGTATCTCCAAACCTCTTTCTAAACCAATATACCTCACTAAGTAGATGACACCGAGAGCTCTTGTATGTTGTGTCATTTGAATGATAAAATATTCAGGCATTTCTTTGTCTGCTTTCAGGGAAATACCAAAGCTTATGAAAGAAGTTTCTTCAAAAAGGAAGGCAACAGAAGGGAAAGTAAGAAGTTTAAATATTGACTTTTTAAGTAGTATTAAGTGTTATTTTAAGATTTTGTCAACTCAGTATAAGTTTTTTATTTTATTTTATTTTGTTTTAACTTAGTATAAGTTCATCCGGTTAGCTACTACCCTGGTATATTGGTATGCTTGGGCTACACTCCTGTGCACACTTACTTATCCTCCAAGGAGCTCAAAGTGACATACGTGTCACTCCTCCATTTATCCTCACAATAACCTCCTGACTTAGTTTAAACAGAGAGAGAGTGACTGGCCCAAGCCCCCCCCCCCTTTGCACAAGTTACATGGCAAGTGATTATTTGAACCCAGATCCTAGTTGAACACTTTAACCACTACCCCATACTGACACCTTCTGAGTAAACAGGTATAGTATTGAACTGTTGTTATATTTATTGAAGCAGTTGGCTATGATATTTTACAGCTGCCCCAAAGACCAAAAATTGGAAGATGTGCTTAATTAAATAGTTGAAACTGAATTTTAAAATTATTTTCCAGCTATCTCTAAGTAATCTGGCTCAGCTTATGAAAAAGATGCCATATTTTCGTAAACAGATTACTAAGGTAAGCAAAACTTTATACAGTGGTATTTTGGGGTGCCAACTGTTCATGCTGTGTGGTTCTTAATAGTTTGATACTATGGACAACTTTGCTGGAATAGGATGCAGTGCAAAATTTTCTTCAGACCCCGGATGATATGCTAGTGCTTCAATAGTCTAATGTGTTAAGATTTAGGTAAGCTTCATCCTGAATTGGATAGATGCTGTTTGAAATTCCATGGGCCAGAGAATGTAAGCATAGCCATGTGGTGCATCAGGTACACCTGGTCAGCCTTCTCTACTCATCAGTAATCAACCAGCTACCTTTGGAAGTTCAAGCTCAAAAGTGTGTATGTTTGTTTTGCCCTGGTGCCTGTTATTTGGAGATGACACAAGCTCTGCTTGTAGAGAGAGAGGTTGTGGAGGGTGGTAGGCACTCTCTGTCACTGGAGAAGGGGCATCACAGGCATCATTGGTTGTTAAGTCATTTTTTTTGTTGTGCGGCTTCTTTTGTTGCATCATGAACTAAACTATGTAAAAATAATCCTGCTTCTGTTTTTGTCTGTTTTTCAGCAAGTGGTCCATCTTAACATAGCTGAAGATTGTATGACTAAGTTCAAGAGTAATATAGAGAAGCTGTGCAAAGTTGAACAGGTATGTGAATCACTCATGCGACCAGTGCTGTTTGGCCTAAGCAAATATTTGTAGAGACACAACTGACCTTTCTTTTCAAGTGAGCTGACATTTGCCCCTGGGTGACCTCAAGAAGCAGCAGCAGCAGCACTTCTTGATCTTTGAAGCAGCAATTTTTTCTGTTGAGAAAAACCAGTGGTGGTCTTTTCCAGCCCAGAGAGATCAATCCAAAGGTGTCACTAGTAAGGGGAGAGTAGTGTGTGTGGCTGCAGAAATGCTGTAAAACTTGCTTCCTGGCCAAAAAGGATACTCATTCAGCAGTGCCTCCTTGCTCTTCAAGGCCCAGTTGCAGTTATGCTTTTTGCTTTCCTTATCCCACCACTGGTCTGTCTTTGCTGCCTTATCAAACTCTAGAACAGAGGGAACAGATCAGTGGATGCTCCAGTACTCCTTTGAGGAACATGGAAGATGAATGAGCAAGGGTAAGAAGTGGGGAAGCAAAGAAGAGATGGGTGATAATTTATTTGTAAGATTGCAAAATAATTTGCTTTACAATTGGTAAGGTTCTCCCCCAGCTTCTAATAATAAGCGTAGTTGCTTTTTTTACACCCTGCTTTTATCAACCTTGCAACCAGTGGCTGAGTGAAGTACCATTCAAAGAGGGAATTGGCTTGCCTTTCCTTGATTTAAGAGAATGTCTCCTGTTTTTGTGACTTAGGATTTGGCTCTTGGAACAGATGCAGATGGGCAAAAAGTGAAAGACTCAATGAGAGTCCTCCTTCCGGTATTGCTCAATAAAAATCATGATAACTATGATAAGATAAGAGCCATTCTCCTCTATATCTTCAGCACAAATGGTAAGATTTTGATTCACTATCTACTGTATAGTGGAGCTGCAGTACATAGTTCAGCAATGCAGTCTATACTGAATGCTTAACTACATAAATGTAAATGTTTTTAATAGTATTTTATTGATTTTTACAACACAAAAAGAAGATAAACCACGACAATACACAGACATCTACAAACACACAAAAAAGAAGACCGCCATATCTTATCATAACCGCAACACAAAATTCTAACATAATTAACTGGTTCCACATTTCCCAGTGTATTTCTAGCCATATTAAACAAAGAAAGAAAAAAACCCAAAACTTGAAAATCAAATTCATTTTTATCTGTCTATAAGTCATAGCAACATTTCAACAAAAAAAAAAGAAAAAGAAAAAACAGAACAAAATAATATTAACTATTATTAGATTATCCTGATTTATCTCATCTCAATTAGCATTTATGTTTGTAAAGTTACCGACATTCACTTTACTTCTAATTTTATCTTTCTTTCCTGCTTCTTTAGCCAACTTATCACTCAACATTACATTATACTGTATAATTTCTTACTTATACTCTTATGACCTTTACCTAATATATAGCGCTTTATAACCATTACCTTCTTATTTACCCTATTTCGTAATAGGTTAATTTACCAACTTGCCGCAAACCAAACCAAAGGAAACCACAAAATTCTTAGCTTTAATATTCAAGCTTCTTCTCTTCATATTATTACAAAGTGCAGTCCAAGGGACTGTATCATACGCTAATGCTTCATTTACTCCAAAACAACTAAAAGGAAAAAGAAAAACTAACAACTGTTTATAACCATGGGCTTAAAAATAAACTGTTTTATAAACACATTGCTTTTATCTTTATGCCCCCTTTTACCGTCTTGTAAGTTAAACACCCAATAAGGAGAGGATCAGGTAAGCTGAAACATCAAAGTTCCTAGCTATAATATTGACTAAGTATTATCTAAACTATTCATGCCTCATACATCTACTAAATTCTCTTCATGTTATTGTAAAAAAAATCAACTAAACCCCATTTTCTCCAATATTACTAAGAAATAGCTATTTTAACTTGCCAAACTTGAGAATGTATTAGCTACTTAACAGAAATTGTCAGTTACCTTATTTGCCCATTTTAAACATCACCTATTATACTATAAATCCATTGTATATACAGTGTCTCACAGTTCCTATCTAAAGTACATCTATTTTTCATCTTTCCTTTAACCCATAATTTAAACTAAACCACTTTATAATATGCTAATATTTTCTTGATTTTCTGCATCCTTTTTTTCTTTACAATCATGCATGTCTTCTCTCTTTAAATACATGAACTTCCATTTCCATTTGTTCCCTCCTACAATTCAAGTGCAAAAGGGAGGGATTCCGTCCAGTGTTCTTTGGTTTTTTATTATTTCTTCCATGTTTGTCATGCTTCCTTGTGCTGGGCTTTAATTTTGCCTTAACAAGTTTAGCCTTTTTGGGGTAGGTACTCCAAAGAATTTCCTTTCCTTGCCTCCAACATCACAAAATTTTCCAAAGGTTCTTCTAAGTATGGCGTTTGTACACTGAGTTTCTCAAATCCTATCTTACATGGAGCCAATGTTACCTGCATAGTGGGACTTTGCCTTCTGATCTCGTCTTCCACAGTATACTGCTGGGTTGTGATTGATTCTTCTCTTTCCCCCCATCACAATCCGCAAGTAAGTTCTGAGGTTTCTCCAATAAACTCTTACAAGCCTCATTAAACATGCTTCGAAATTCATCTAGCAATAGCTTTTTAAATTGTTCCACAGTAAGTTGGCCAATTTCCAAATTTTCTAACTCCTGTCCTTCCTCCATGTCCTCGCCGTTTGTTTTTTCTTATTTCTTTTAAATTAGCCACTAACTCAGGACAGTTATAAAGAAGAAAGCCTTGGCAACAGTTCAAATATCCTGCAAACGGCATTTTTAATTTCTGTTTAAATGAGTAAAGTTATCTTCTTACCCCCATAAATCACTCAGACAAACTTCGTTCTCCTTTCTCACGCTGGCCACTTTCCCAATTTTAGGAGAAGAGAAAAAACTGGAGTTGTTCATGAAATGACCCTTTTGTATATGTCTCTGACCTATTGTGCTAGTAGCCAAAGGCCCTTACAGTCTTAACTAGGGATGGGCACGAACTGATATGCCGGTTTGCAAGCTGAAACAGTTCATATCAGTTCATGAGCCATTTAAAGATTAAATCTCTTCTTTCTGCTCCCTGTGAAAAGCTGTGGGGAGCAGGAAGCTGGAGTTTCCAAACAGCTGAGCGGTGGGGAGCACAAAGCAGCTTTTCATGGGGAGCAGAAAGCAGGGTTTAAATGGCTCAGAGCCATTTAAACCAAACAGTTGAACAGCATGGAGCTCCTTGAAGCTCAGCTGTTTTTCGTGAAGAGCCATTTAAATTCATGGGGGTTCTTTAGACCAGACAGTTGAGCAGCAGGGAGCTCCTTGAAGCTCAGCTGTTTTTCATGAAGAGCCATCAAAATTCCTGGGTGGTGGTGGTGGTCTTCAGTTCACAAACATCGCTTCACAAATCACAAACCAGCCAAAATTTGTGACGAACTTTAGTTCATCAGCTGATTTGTGCCCATCCCTAGTCTTAACATAAGAAATAACAGTTGAAAGGGGGGGGGGGGACACAAGGACCATACAGAATTTAAAAATACAAAAAACATGCAAACCCCAAAACATAAAAACGTGCAATAAAAGCACAATTAATTTCAGGTTTCCTTCCCATTAAACTAACTATGAGTTTGAGCAATTTGCTGCTTAATCAGACACAGCTTTGGCCTGAATTTTCTTAGGCACTAATGCGTAAAGAGAAATGGTGTGAGCTACGTGAGGGCATATGTCTGACAATCAGTAAATTACTTTCTTCACATCTGAGCTCAAATTTAAGTGGGCTTAAAAGAGCTGTGAGAAATTTACATCTAGACTGAGAGAGGGTGTGCAATACAAAACATAATGTGGAAGATCCTCCAGTTCTAGATTTCTATGGATATAGAAGCACTGGACTACCATGGTGGATAGGGAAAATAAGGTAAAGGTTTGCTTGGTGTCATGCAGAAACACTCAGTATAATGCTATGGCTTTGACGTTGGTCATGGATACCCACCAAGACGTTTCCTGGCTGTGCATATCTGTTTTAATTTTGTTTAGGCAACAGCTGCCACCACAGCACAAAGATCTTCACTGCATGACTAAAGATATGCAAAAAAATCTTAGAACAGTATCTTCACTTTAAAAGGCATCCTTTTAAAACAGAGCTTCTGCCTGAAATGTTGAAGGTTTATTTTTAGAGTTATGCATAGCCTCACTCCCTAACATATTATGTAGATGGCTCCACCTCCTACAATGGTCATTTTGTAGTTGTGCCTACCACCCTGTGTCAGAGTTCTAAAGGGCCCTGCAGGCTCAAAAAAGTTGGGGACCCCAGACCAAAGGTCAGTACTTACATAAACACTTTGTCTGAATTTGGTAAGTTATTCAGAATATCTTTTTTTTCATGTGGAAAAAGGCACTACGCAAGAGAACTTGGACAAGCTGATCCAGAATGTACAGATAGAAAATGATAGTGACATGATAAAAAACTGGAAGTATCTCGGTGTCCCTATCGTCACCACAGTAAGAAATATGGCATTTTTTCTTTCATCTCCTTTGCAACATAGACCTTTATGTGCTTGTATTTGAAGGACTATTCTGCTGTTCCGGTTGACCTTCTGCCCCACATTTCCATTGCTCCTTACTTCTTGCTTAAAATCTTATTAAAATAATCCTAAATACATCACACTACGCTGATTTGGTAGAAAAATGGGGAATTTGGTGTGGAATGTTACCAAAGCATGCTATCATATGGCATTTTTATAGTTCTTTAGAGTATTCAGGAAGTATCCTATAAAATAGCACAGAATAATTATCCCACACTACAGCTATGCAGGGGAATGAGCAAAGAGCTAAGATGTAGTAGCTACTTGAAGACCGTAGATGACTGTGGCTGCGGCAAGAGTTGATTCTGAAAGTTCCCTGGCTTGCAGGTCACACCAGTGTACTGCACAGTCTATCTTGGAAAGAATCTCAATGTCCACGTATTTATTTGGGCTGTTTCTCTAACCCTTTAAACTACATATGTTTATGAAGGTGGTGTAAAAATTCATACTTAATTCAGCATTCGATGCATATATTTATTAGGTAACTCGACTTATCTGTGAAAATATCTTTCATTTTATTGCTGCTTTTCAATGTTGTTTGAGCATTTTTAGGCCACTTTCTCCCCAGAGGGACCCACAACGGCTTATAAGAAGAGAGAGGCTTCAGAGTACTTAAAACAGAAACTAATCTGGGCTGGTCCAGGTGTGCCATATTGGTTATCATGAGTTCCAGGCTGCAAGCCCTGGGCTAAGATCCAAAGCCTGAGCCTTTCAGCTCACACTTCTGGTCCCACCTAAATACCTGCAGAAAGAGGAGAGTAAAAGTTAGTCTAGATGTAGCTGCTGCTAGCCTGTTACAGAGAGCCAGCAGGATCTTCCTTCGTTCCCCCTTGCCCTCTTCTGATGGGCTTCAGTTGAGTAACAGGTTTGGAAGCTATGTTGAAATAGTGTTGTCCATGCCCTATTTTGTGGCCTTTCGTCTCTTATAGTAACTTCAGGCCATACAAATTTCCCTATAGTTAACTTTTATTTCATTCTGATAGCATACACAAGCAGGGACAGGACTGAGTAACTTGTCCCCTTCTGTTGCCTACTTGATTCAAGCAGTGATATGCAGCAGTGTTCATGGCTTTTTGCAAGTATTTCTATAGCATATTGCCTCATTTAAGCTCTACTTGTGTGTAACTAGGTGCATGCAAGAATTTAGTGGCCCTGCATAGGGATGTGCATCCCCACCAGGATCAACAAAACACATTAAGCCAGTTCAGTGGTATATGGATGTAGATGTGCATTCTAAAGTTGCTTGCATTGTCTACACTAGATGCATGCATGAAAGCCCACATGTCCTTTTTAGATTGGAACATGTAATAGAGATGATGGATTACAAGGGGTCCATAGAAGTAGTTACTAGTAGTGACTGTATCTTTGAGTGGGAGAGAGGCAGAAATTAGTGATGGGGTTTCAGATGTGCTAGAAGTACCAGTCATGGGGTTTCAGATGTGCCAAAAGTACTGAGAACCCAGAGTGCCTTGAAGCTCAATTGGATGGCTTGGATCATTTGGAGCATTTATGTGGATGGAACAATTTCTGCTTGGAGATCACAACTTTTATGCCTCCCCCCTCCTGCCACATCCCAAAATGCCCCCCTCCATGCTGTTCCTCCCAGGAAAGCCGCACTTCACTCCATTGAGTCCAAGCTGATCTTAGAAATGAACTCCTGACTCTCATTGCCAAGGGAGGAAGAGCTAAGTCAATAACAAGCCATATAAAATGGCCAACTACCAAGGCCAGTCAAAATTTATGGACCTTGTGCATAACAGGTTCTTGATAAAACTAAACTCTTTGTTAAAGCTTACTCATACTAACAGTGTGCTTCTGTTTCGCTGTGTAAATTAAAATGTGGTCTATCTGTCACAGAATACCTTCTCCTTTTACTGTATTTGGGTGGTATTATTATCATTATTGTTATCATCATCATCATCATCATCATCATCATCATCTCACTGTGAAGCGTGTCCAAACAAACGGTAAAAACTATGTGCACATTTTAGGAAGTTGGCTTTGAATCTATATTGGTAATAGAGTTCTTCAATAGACTAAAGAAATTCAATGTGAAAATGAAATTTGTAATATACTGGCATAGTTAATGTAGTTTGATGTTATGGGAATGAACATAGGGAATACTTGGATCATAGGTGTGTTGCTTTTGCATGTGGCTCAGAAATTAGCTACTTCAGAAAACCAGAGTTGTGTGAAAACTACAGTCCTTGGTTTGTTCACTTTTCCTTCCCCAAACTAGGATTTCAGGTTAGGATTGAATCATGTTTTAGAATCCTGATTTGCAGGAAAGAGAATACACCACAGGATGAGGTTTCAGCATAAAAACAAGGTATCCTTTCCCCAAAAGTACAAATGAATTCCAAGCTATTGCAAGAGGAAGGGAACACACAAGTTCAGGGTTCCTGCAAGCTTGTTTCCATGATGATGACCCATGATTTTTCATGTGTGAACTTACATTTGCTACATTAATAAGCTGGTCTAAATTTATACACAGCAAACTAGAGTCTCAACAGGCTTTTAGCTGTATGATACATTTTCCCTTCAGTATGCTTGTGGATTCATGTGTGCACATGAGATTTTCATCTTTATAATTTTTCTTTCAGTCTGCATCCCAACAACGTCGACCATCAAGGAAGGACCGGTCTTCAGAAGAAACGTTTGAGCTTTCTAGATGGAGTCCTGTTATTAAGGACATTATGGAGGTAACGTTTTCAAAAAAGTTTGCTCTTCATCTTATGCAGAATATTTAGGGCCTTCAAAACCTGTATGTAAAAACATCGTTCTCATAATGGCCCCTCTTTCTATCACAGGAATTTTACTCCTAGACATCTTGAAAGAAAGATATAGATATGATACTCAGGTGTGTTATTGGTATCAGGAGTAGTGTACATGCTTATACCTGGCTCCCATCACAATTCATAAAAACAATGCAATGGCAATACAAGGTGACACTAGATCTATGAAAAGTAGTATATAAAAAAATGCCAGTGTTTGTTGAAAATTTTATACT